GTGTGGCAATTATAAGTAAATTAAAATTAGTGTTCCATTAAAAAGAGGGGCAATTTCATCCTTTTCCTCTATCACAGGGTATATTTAAAGTAAATCTATAAATAAATTATTTCAAACTGCCTAAAAGCAAGACATCTTTTAACTTCTCCAGCAAAAATAGAGCACATTCTATATAATGATAAGCAATACATGCCCCCAATAAAGAATTCAACATAACAAGTTCACTTCTTTAAAAATTTCTTATATTTTTTATCATGGAACACTAAATTATACATGGAAAGTCTCTTCAGTTTAAAATTAAAACATGCTTAGCATTGGCCAGCTCTTACTTCAAAGAACATCTGGGAATAAGTAATCACCAGAGAAGCAGTTGTTAACTTGATCTATGACAAGTCTAGGTGCTGGTATAATTGAGATAAGAAAATAGGAAGAAATTAAGAAGGCAATACAAAAATTTTTATATCTCAAATAACCACAGACGTACAATATACAATGTCTATCGAAATTCAAGTTTTCAAAAGCCCCTGTTCACAAATGAAGGTAAGCCTTTCCTCCCTCCCATAAAATTACACTAAGATTCAGTCTCTGGTTGTACCTGTGTTTGCCTGGCCCCCTGACTCAGCCCAGACCCTTTCCTTAGGACTTGATGACAGCTAGAAAGAAGAGACTCAGAGCAATGATGTAGGAAATTAGAGAAGTGATCTCTGACAACAAGGAACCACAATCTGCTAACTTTTAATACATTTAAAAATATAATCTAAAAATAATTTTTAAAAAATTAGTAGTGAGAAAGCCTTCTGGGTAAATTGCTGTGTCACAGAAAAAATGAAGAACACAGAAGGGGTTTCCCAGAGCACATACACTTTCTGTATGTCCTTGATATTAAAATCAAAGTAATCTCGACTATAATATTTGCATTCCAACCTCCCATCCAAGTCTACCCTCAGGATTAAAGGAAAGGTATGGTAGAGCTGTGGTATGCCACACAAACACCCTCTCCAGGACAAAGTCACTCATTCACCCAAATGACAAAGGCACGGAGCTGAGTCACTTTCCGAGAATGGCAGAGGCCAAGGGGTTATTGCCCCTCCTCTGGGTCAGCCCACATGCAGTGACTAACTGACATGGGCACCCAAATGCCTAGCCCTCTCGCTTTAACACAGAGGCCATCCTAGGATCAGAAGTTCCTGTAGGACTGGCTGAGGCCTCTGTTGCAAATGCATTGTGGCTCAGCTTCTCCCAAAAGAAGCTCTGCACATATATCTCTGTTTCATAGTCTGTTTCCCAGAAAACCTGACTAAAAAGTTGGTATGGGGCTTCCCTGGTGGTGCAGTGGTTGAGAGTCCTCCTGCCGATGCAGGGGACACGGGTTCGTGCCCCAGTCTGGGAAGATCCCACATGCCGTGGAGCGGCTGGGCCCATGAGCCATGGACACTGAGCCTGCGCGTCCAGAGCCTGTGCTCCGCAATGGGAGAAGCCACAACAGTGAGAGGCCCGCGTACCGCCAAAAAAAAAAAAAAAAAAAGTTGGTATGAAGGGAGTATGGAGGAAGTAGCTCTAAAATGAGATATTTTACCTGAATCCTCTCTGTTGGACTGGCAATGAGGGCCCAGTCACTGATGCCAGGTAGAAAACTGATAGCCAACGGTGTACTGTGTAGCAGGACAGTTGTTAAAATATTCACTAGTGGTAGACTAGGGTGTGATACCAGTGGAAGGAGATGAACTTGTATGTACAACATCTTAAAGTATTTTAGAGGTTGAGGAGAGGAAGTGATTAGCACTGTGAAATAGAATAGCTGTTGCTGGGGCCTCTTAATGCAGTAGAGAAAGACACTGAAAGGCTTAGAGTGATAAGTCAACAATTTAAGGCTAAATGTAAAGACAGCAGACATCCATGTCACCAGATAAAGAAATTCTCACCTCCTGCAGCAGATGCAGAAAAAAGCTGAGCATCAGACCCAGGAATTAATCATAAGCGTGGCAGAGATCCAGAGAATGTTTAATTCTCAATTTAGGCAAGTTGGCTGTGCCAAGGTTGGGGCCTTAATTGGGAAAAAATGGGACTATGAGTCATTTGCTGGGGACATCTGGGTTGATTCACTTGAAACTTTTTAATCCTCAGATTCCCCTGGATCCTCTGAGACTGCAAAAGTGGCCTCTTCCCCCTGTTAGTGGCTAGTGCTCCACCCTTGCTTAAAGACTGCAAGAAAATCTGTGCGCTCTCCATCAAGATCTACCAAAAACACTCCCATGGACCTCCAGACAGATAACTAGGGAAGAGTCATAACATAATCCAGCTGAATAAAACTGGACTCTGTTAAGGGAGCAAAAAGACAATATGTTGAAGAAACTGAAGGACCTCACCAACATATACACACCAATAGGAACATATAGGAACTGACAGAGTACTTATGAACTGGATTCTGTGAGTACTAGATCCATGTGGAAGCATATAAAGTTAGATAGGGAAGAATTTACTGCTATTGAAGCAATCTTCTATGATATTGAATTTAACACCTGGCAAAGATCATGGGAGACAGTATTAACACAACTTTACAGTGATTCTTGGAGGCTTGGAAAATGTTATGGTCTATACCAAGTAGAAATAGTATAGCACACAGTAGAAAAAGGGTTTGTAAGTCTCAAAGAAGTGGGTGTACTAGAGTAGATATACTATATAAAGCCAAGGAACTGACCAGCCAAAAAATTTTCCATGGGCAAACACATCATTTTTCAATGAGATAAGTAATGCAGTGGTGAGTTTCCCAATGGCATCATTGAGTATCTCAGTGATGACTATCTTCTATAGGCCAGAGATGTTACAGAACTAGGCTCAAATGACAATAGCAATAATAGGATCCCCAAACAATTTAGGTGAGGTAGTAGCACCGAACTATCAAAAACAAAGTGGGTGAAACTATCATAATAAACTGCAATTGTGGGGTGGCAGCCATGAGGCAACTCAGAGAGAACCATGGAGATGATTAAGAGAATGCAGTTCCTAGAGGCAAGATAGATGCACACCCCTCCACAGATACTCTTTAATTTACACAAGAAAAAAATTATGGATATGTGATTAGAGAATTGAGGACAGCTTCCCCAGTAAGAAGATAAATCTCTTGCCTAGTTTCTGGACCAGAGCCAATACTCAAATCCAGAACCCAGTGACTGAAGGAGAGGCCAGGTCTCCATGAGGTGTGGACCCCACTACTATGACAAATGAATATGGTAATGATTCCCATAGACCTCCAACAAAGGGCCTTACTTGTATAACCACACACTGGGGAAAAGAGAATATCCAGACACTTTGAGGACTGTGAGACACAGTCTGAGTCGGCATCGATACTAAGCGAAGTGAACCCTCTTTCAGAGTAGGAGCATATGAGAGCAGGTACTAAATGTACTTAGCTCAGCTATGAATCTCAGTGTGTCCACTGGATCCCTGGACTCACCCAGTGATAATTCCTTCAGTCTTATGCATAAATGGAATGAACACATATGGTAGCTGGCAGAACCTCCGCATTGATTCCTGGGCCTGTGGGATTAGATCTATCATAGTGGGGAAGGCGAGTAAATAAAAAACATTATCACATCTTGGGGAATGCAAAGTTTAGTATTACCCTTAAAGATTTAAGTGATGGCTGTCTCCATCCTATCTATATTAAACTCATCTCATTTAGTTCACTAGATTTGCCCCTACAAAACCCAGATAGATCCTAGTGGATGACAGTGAACTACCGCAAATTCAAAAAGTAATCATGCCAGTTGCAGCTGGTGTGCAGATGTGGTATCTTTACTCGAGTAGATCAACATAGCCTCTGATACATGGTATATGGTCATTGAACCAGCAAATTTATTCTTTTCTATCCTTAAAAGGAAAATGGTTCAGATGCAGTTCAAATTCAGGTGGGGCACACAAGCATGTACAATCCTGTCCCTAGGCTGTGTTTTCCCATGATGAACCACCATGTACCGCCATTTTCTCACCATGTACCAGGACCTAGATCATCTGCGTATTCTGAACGTTACATTGGTCCACTACATTGATGATATCCTGTTAATTGGATCTAGTGAGCAAAACGTAACAAGAAGTTGAACAAGAAGGCCTTGATAAAACACATGAGTTCCAAAGATAGATTAACCTTATCATGGCTCAAACCAGTGTAGTTTTCAGAAGTAGTCTAGAGGATACCCTGCTATTCCTTCCAAAGGAAAAAATAAATCAATGCCTCTCACATCCAAAATGTGGTAGTCTCTTCTGGTTCTGGAAGTAATATAATCCATACTTGAAAATACTACTCTGACTCATATGCTATATGAAGACTGACATAGTTCAGACCCTATGAAAAGAGACATCCATGGTGAAAAACTTACCTTGTGGAATTTATGATGAACCCCAACAGGATAATGTTGACCCCTGGATTCTGGAGAAAGGTCATGACCTCTGCAGAGGAGACCTATATACTATTTTTTAAAACTTCTCAATCTGCAACTGGGTCCAAATATGTATGGAGCACTTGAGCATGTGGCATCACTTAACCATGCTGCCAGAACTACCTAACATGAGCTGAGTTCTGTCTCACTCACCAAATCATAAGATTGGGTGAACCCAATAGCAATCCACTGAAAAATGGAAATGGCATGTCTGGGATTATCAGACAGGACCAGGGTCACAGGGCACAAGTAAGCTGCAATGACATAGACTTTGGACATTCACTACTATTCACCAGTGTCTCTCCCTCAGTGTGTGAGTATATGTATGTGTGAGTGTGCGAGTGTGTTTACTTCCCTGTTGGAAGATATCCCTTGTTAGTGGCTAAGGGAAGAAGAAAAAAATATCTGAACTTAGTGCATGGACAGGTTGTCTAGTATGTGGGTATCTCAGTATGTGGATAGTCCACGAAAATGGACTACTGCTACACTATCCCACTCAACATGGCACTGAAAGACAGCAGTGAGGGAAAATCCTCCCAACAGGTAGAATTTGGGGTAGGTTACCTGATCATCCACTTTGTTGGAAAGAGAAGTGGTCCATGGTAAGAATATACGTGGACTCGTGAGCAGTGGTGAATTGCTTGCCTGATTTCACAGGACCCTGCAAGAAGAAAAATTGGAAGATCAGGTTCAAAGAAACCTACAGAAGAGGCATGTGGGTGGATCTGAGGGGAAGAGCTCAAAGTGTGAAATTTTTTGAGTTGCATGTTATGGCCACCAGAGAGTATTCACCATGGAAGTAGCAATAAATAAGCAAGTAAACAATGATTTGACCAAATGTGGTTGAGATAGAGATTATGCATGGGCTCAACAGCATGGGCTCCTACTCACCAAGGCTGAGCTTGGTATTACTGCTGATGAATGCCCAACCCTCCAGCAAGAGAGATCAATGCTGAGTACCTGATACAACGTCTTTCAAGAATATCGACTAGTCACTTGGTAGCGATTGATTACATTGAACTTCTACTCTGGAAAGGGCAGTGCTGCACTCACTGGAATCAACACAATTCCAGATATAAATTTGCCTTTCTCACCCACATAATTTCATTTTCGACCAAGGGGACTACTTTAGAGCAGTGGTTGTGCAGCAGTGTGCTCCTTACCATGGATTCCACTAGTTCTATGACATACCACATCAAAACCCAGAAACTTCCAGCCTAATAATTTTAATAATAATAGCCTTTGAAAACACATTTGAAGTACCAGCTTAAGAATGATACCCTCATGGAGTGGGTACCATACTACAGAATACAGTATATATTCTAAATCCATGACCATCACACGGTATTGTGCCCCCAGTAGATAGAATACATGGGTCTGGAAACCAAGAAGTGGCCCTGCTTATTATCACTCTCAGTGTCCCAGTTGGAATATTTGTACTTCCCATTCCTACAACTTAGGTTTCTCTGATTATAGAGCATCTGACTCCAAGAGTGGGACTGCTTCTATTAGGACACACAGTGAAAGAACTATGAAGTTTTAAAATATGGTTTCCATTCGGTCTCTTTAAACTTATGGCAGGAGGAATTGACTCTGATCATTAGGAGAATGTAGGGCCAAAATTACATTATGTAAACAAGGAGGAACACATCTGGCATCCAGAAAAGCCACTGAGGAAACTCTTCACAATCGCCTGCCAGATTTGATGGTAAATGGATAAGAATGGCAAGATGACTGAGGTCTCAGATCATTCAGGGATGATAATCTGGGTCACCCCAGGAGGTAAGCCAGCTAGACCAGCAGAAGTGCTAGCCATTGGTAGGAGACACCTAAAATGTGAGGTGTAGGAGGAAGATGATGGATTGTGGTCTTCAGGGCAGTTGCGATTACTAGGGCTCTAGCTCATTCTAATAACTTTGTTCATGTAAGTTTCCCCGGGATAATAGACCAGCAAGCTATCCCAGATGGTTAACTTGACATATGAAGCAAGAGTGTCTGAGAGGCACACAGGGCAGACTATAATGGATGCTAGAGTGTGATACCTTCAGGACCAAGGTACACATCCCCTGAGTCAACCCCTGGAATGGCCCTCAGCTGAAGGGAGTCTTGGTTCCTGGATTGGCACAGACACCAGTTCACAGGCTTCCACATTGTCCCTAAATATGCCCTAGTTTTGATCTTCAGATTATGTGACTCCAGGTCTATAAAATATATTTTCTTTATTGTCACAATATATCGTAAGTAGCAGAGACAGCTCATGGGTAACAAATATTAATAATAGTAGTTGCCATTTAATATTTGCTTGCTCTGTTCCAGGCACTACGCTGAGTATTTTAAAAGTTATCTCATTAAATCATGGAAACAATCCTCTAAAAAATGTACTATACTATTCCTGCTATAGAGAGGAGGAAACCATGGCTTGCCGTAATTCAGTACCTTGCCTAACACCACAATTCTAGAAAGTGGTAGTGCCTACATCTGAATACAGAATATGAAATTCCAAAGCCTTCACATTATATAACTTTTTTATATAGATAATTGGCAAAATATAAAAAGTAATACTTACGTCAGGGAGAACATAATTTGAATTTAAACTGCCTGATTATCCATTTAAATATACTACTGAACATACTAAATATAGATGTAGTAAATATTCTACTGAAAAGGCATTGTATTGATATATTGTACAGAAGTTAAGAAATTAATTCGTGATGGGTCTTTATTAGAAATTGCATCTCTAAGATAGATTCTTCATGTCCTAGCTGAGTCCAAATATGGAACACTATTCTAAATGAAAGGTTTCCTAGCATCTGATAGAGCTCTCAGCCAGATGGTCTGAGCCTTGGAACTGAGGGGCCCAGAAATGCCTAGCCCTAAATATACAAAGTTGTGAAGTGTACATTTTCGGTTCCCAACAACTTAGCCTCATCTTTGTTCACCTTTTCTGCCCCACTCTCTCGAGACCTCAAGTAGGCAATTACCCAGGTCTTAGCTGATCTACCACAACTTTTGGGAAAGAATCTGATGACTATAGATGTTACTAACTGATGCAACCTAACTTATGTACTTTTCTTGGATGCTTGGAAGAATTTTAGACTCACAATTAAAGCATCAGTATCCTGGGGGTAGAAAGATAAGGATTGTATTGTTTTTTGTTTCCATTTTTCCAAACAAAAGAACTTCATGGCCCTGAAATCTTACCAAATAAATAAAAAGTCCTTTGTTACTTCTAACACACCTAGTTTATTCTTCTTTAAACTATTTTTTTCATTGTCTACATGTTCACCTTAAATCATTTACACAATAAAAAGAAAACTATAAAGAAAACTTACAATTTTTGCAAGAGGGTATGAGGTAAGAAAGATATGTACATATATCATTACTGAAAAGTTTTAAAAATAAAAGACTCAAATTTTATTACATAACACTTAGGTATGCCTCCAATAAACCCCTTATAAACAAATATGAATATCCCAATTGAAGCTAGGGTTCTGTCACCAATTTCATGGCCAGCAGACGGCAAAGCAGTCCCCTGTCCTCCTGCTCTGCAATTAAACTTCCTAATCTTTTGTTGCGTTCTCCTGAAAGCTCTATCATTTTTTATTTATTCTTTATTCATGGTCTCGCTTTCATAGATGATTCTGTGGATACATGAAATAATTATCTACATGTTTGTAATAATTTAAAACATTCCAAATAACTAAGGAAATGAGACACAAAACAGGCATGTTTTAATAGAGAGATGGACAAAAAGAATTTAGAAAAAGAAAAGAATGGAAGGAAGAAGGAAGGGAGGAAGGGAGGCGGAAAGGAAGGAGAATTGGGTTAAGGTGAGGAGGCAGAGAGACTCAGAGTTGTCATGGCTTGTTTACCTTCTGGACAAGCTGGTCTGTTCTCCCTTTACGTGTTCTTCCCCAATTAAGTAATCCCTACGTCATTACCCTGCTAGGGATAGTGCTCATAATCAGAAAGAATCGTGAATATGGTCTTAGACATTTTAGCCCGATTCTTTCCCTGATTTCCGTATCATGACAGTTCCAGAGATCTCCACCAAACTGGAGATGCAGGGGTATTACAGTATTACATGTCTATACCTAGGACAGCTCCTTTTAAAAACAGAGGACAGAGTGACCATGCTGTCATTGTTGTCAAAACAAGGTCCAGTTATGCATCAATATAAGCAAGTTAATACTTAAAAAGCAAGTAAATCAATGGATTGATACTTGCTTTACAAAGATATTTAGCACAATTTTCCAGAAGACAAAAAGCTAGTTCTCTAGAGAATTTAACGTTGATATTAGCTTGCAGATACTTTGAAAACCTATATGGTGCATAAATTAAGGAATATCTGAACACATAGTCAGAAATAATCCTCCCTCTAGTTTGTATTTGGGTTGTGTTTGTATTCAACAGTTAAAAAAAAAAAGAAAGAAAAAGAAAACAGGTTTTATATTGCATAATAAACAAAGCACAAATCCTGTTTGCCAAAGAAGAAATCTATAAATTTAATGGCAAAATACGTGAAACATGAGGAATTACAGTTTTAATTTAAGACTATTGCCCTGCCCTGCTATCTTTAGGAATTGTATGGACTAATGATTAATTAATTATTTATTTTTGTATTTTTATCCTTGAATTTCTTATCAGGCTATTATTTCAGGCAGGAACCAGAAAGATTACCTAATATTTTTTAACAATTAAGCAGTAGTTGTTAATCAGAATTTGTTGACAGTTTTCCAAGACTGTAATTGAGGTTGCGTAACCTTGCCTTCATTGATAAATGCAAACTGAACCATAGTGTTCAGGTGAGAAATATCTGATCACAATTTTGAGGGAAGTTACTTATTCACCAGATTCCAAACTACTGAACAATATGCTGACATTAAGAAACAGCTCAGTTTATCGTCTAATGTTCTACTCACACCAAGCATGGTACCTGCCTGTGTCTTCTCTCCATAATAAGGCTTCAAGCCTCTTCTTTGAAGGACAATTCTTTTTAACCCCAGTACTTGCATGGTGTTTTACACAGAATAGACTACTAGTGAAGATGAAAAAGTAAAAGATATATTCAAGAGGAATCTATTGAGAAATTTAGATTTGAAGTCAAAATTTTTAAAAATACTAACAATGTGAAGATATCAGCCCTTTATTCATTCACCCAACAAATATTTATTGAACACTAGCTATGTGTTGTGACCTGCACTAAGTTGGGGTGCACAATGGTGGGGAAAACACCAACAGTCTCTGGCCTCTGTAAGATCAGAATAAACAGGGAGAATTAATTAAGCAAGCAATAAACAATAGTATTTTCTTTCCAACCCACTTCCACCCAAAAAGTGACTCCTTGATGCCTACTCCATGAAATTCAGACCTCCCCACAGCCCCAGTCCTCACCATATATTCTCTGCCAACATATCTCTTAACCTTTTGCTTGAATAGAATGTACTTTCATTTCCTCATCAGACCGTTACTGTTGCAATGGGGAGTCTTACAATTCATTCCTTCCACCTGTAATTCATACTTAGCCTGCATTCACATTCGCCACTTTGGCAGCCCACCCTTAATTCGCTCTTTGTATAATAATTTGGGTTTAAGTTTCCCTCTCCCAATAGATGTAAGAGCTTTTGATGGCAGGTCCTCTACTTACCATTTTCACATTCC